AAGGAAATGAGGAAGGGCAGGAGGAGGAGGATGAGTGGGAGGAGGAGGAGACATGGACGGCGATGAAGGGGGGGACACGAGGAAGGGAAGGAGGCGAGGAGGCATGGAAGATGAGGAAGTACGAGGAGGAGGAGGAGGAAGAGACAAGGAGGATGAAGAAGGGTGGGAGGAGGAGGAGGAACAGGAGGAGGAGGACAAGTCAGAGGAGATGAAAAGGCCAATGGAGGAGGAGACATAGAGGATGAGGAAGGGGAGGACGAGAGGATGAGGAAGGGGAGGACGAGCGAGGTGAGGCAGCACTCCTGCAAAATTTCTTTTCATCCCGCTTATAATTTGGAGGGGGGGCTCGAACGCACCGTTTCAACCCCCGGCCTTCTTCTTTTTTTTGGGAGGGGGGTGACGGGTCGTTCCCCGCACACGTCGTGCGTCGCACGTCGGGAACCATGCGCACAACATGCATTTGCAAGTATCCTCTCAACCGTAATGAGGAGGAGCGTGTGTGAGTATCTACTGTAACCTTTTCTGACTTGCCGTTGGAATAGGAACCACACTGATGTTTCCCAGAATGGGAAGCCAATGCTGCAAGGCTCTGTTTTTGTTATGAAAAAAAAAAAAAAGATGGCAAATTAAGCTCTGGCGGCTGACAATCACCTTTTTTTTAATGTGTTTGCAACACCATTCTGCTCCTTGGCTATACTCGGAGGAATTTCAAAGCGCCTGAGGTACTAGTGGTTCAAAGAAATCAGACATGTAGCCAGGTAGCTAATTGGGACGTTCTAAGTTGGCTTCTAATTTTGACCACCAGGGTTGAAAGCTCTGAGAAACGTCCTGACCACCAGGGTTAAAAGCTCTGCGGAACATCCTGTTGACACACTGGTTGGAGCTCAATCTTCAAACAGATCCACTCTAGTACCTCCCCGGACGATTTAAAAATGGCACTCCTTTGAGTGCACCTTATTGCAGAGGTCTGTCGGGGTGGTCGGCCCACCGGCTTTGCAAGTTTTTTTTTTTTTTTTTTATAGACAAGTGAACCTGCCGCGCCCCAGCGCCAGCCCCACCCCAGGCATGGCCATTATCTGGTCCGGGCGACATTGAGGGTGTTTGTTTTAGAACATGAGGGATGCGCAGCATTCGGGGGGGCATCAGCCAAGGCATCAGCACGCCGTAGGATCCTTTGTAAGCGCCACTGGATTTGAACTCACGTCTGCAATTCAACAGTTCATGTGTGCATCAACTGAGCAGCCTGCCAATGTGCAAAATGAGAAGGAATCTTCTGCAAGAACATAGGAAGATACATCTCGACGAACAGATACATTGAAAAGAAATCCTGGTGTGAGTATGAACTAAGGAGCTGTCTGATGAAATTGCCGCGGCGTGTGTGTGTGTGTGTGTGTGTGTGTGTGAGAGAGAGAGAGAGAGAGAGAGAGAGAGAGAGAGAGAGAGAGAGGGAGGGAGGGAGGGAAGGGGGGAGGGAGATGCACAGGATACCTTTTTAAGTTTTTTTGTGTTCTGCCTTGCATTTGCTCCTCCATTTTACCGCTTTTTGTGCCCAAGATGGCAGCCACGATTTCGGAAGTAGATGTGACCTTTGTCCTGAGAGAATTCTATTGGTTCTTTTGCTCTTTGAGGTTTCGTGGACGTGAGTGTTTTTTCCTTCTATATTAAGTCTTTAGCATTGCTTCCGTTTTGATGCACAATTTGAGAGAGAGAGAGAGAGAGAGAGAGAGAGAGAGAGAGAGAGAGAGAGAGAGAGAGAGAGAGAGAGAGAGAGAGACGGCCCTCCCTCCTCCTCCTCCTTGCTCCCATCTTTGTTCCTGATCTAGAGAGGGCATTTTGTTTTTCCCTTTTTTCCCAATTTACGGAATAGCATTTCGTTTTCGTATTGAAGAAGGAGAGCGCGCGCGCGCGCGCGCGCGCACGTGCGCGCGCGCGAGAGAGAGAGAGAGAGAGAGAGAGAGAGAGAGAGGAGGTGGGTGGGGGGGG